GCTCTTTTTAAGGCAACAGTGCATCTGGCAGGGGAACTAGGGGAAATGTTACTTTAAATCTCCTTCACCTAGTGGGTCAGATTGCTAAATAAACATTACAGCTCCAGACATCACTTCCCATAGTAGGGAGGGAGAGAAGCTAACTCAAGAATTCAGTTCTTCTGTTCGCAAAGCTGGTCTCACTTATTTTAAGAGATGTATTCTGCTGTTTTTAAAAGTCATTAGTATAAAAGCAAAAAAAGGTTTTATAATTCACACATGAATATTTAAATTTCATGGCAACTTTTGTGCTGACCTGTGAGTTCAGCTTCAGGGTCTGGGGTAGTTTGCAACAGGGAGTGTCTCAGAGCTCTGGCGTGGACTTGGGCAGCTGCCCCCATCCTGAGAATTCAGGACGCACCCAGCGAGGACCCATGAAGGAGGCTTCCCCAGCAGGGTCCTGGCTTCTGTGGGGCTTTTCTGGCTCACCTGCTGCTTGCTTTGTGGGCAGGAGGAAGACGAGTTCATCGTGGAGGGGCTGCTGAACATCTCCTGGGGCCTGCGCCGGCCCATCCGTCTGCAGATGCAGGATGACAACGAGCGCATCCGTCCCCCTCCGTCCTCTTCTTCCTGGCACTCCGGCTGTAACCTAGGGGCCCAGGGGTGAGTGAGGAGCCATGGGGCTGGCAGATGACAGAAGTCCCCGGGGGCTCTCAGCAGGTCAAAGCTGCCTTCTCCCCGCCAGCCTTCATCCTGGCTCCTGTCCCAACACTGCCACTGCTCACCCTCTTTGGACAAAGAGAGAAGGGAAAATGTTGGTTTGACGGGGCCTCCGTTCCGTCACCGCAATCACCGAGTGAGGTCACAGGGTGGAGGGGAGATACTGGGCAGAGAGGGGTTGCCCCACACCAAGGCTAGGGTGACAACATGCCTTCCCTGGTAGAGAATTCTGGAGTACCATACAGTGTTGCTAGTGGACCAGCCTGCGGATTTCTGATGGGACCCCCAGCTACCCAGCACCCCTCCGCCCCCCACTGAGCTTGCTCCTTATAGAATGTTCCCTCTCCAGGGAAATTCAGGGCTTGAACCTTCTGACCAAGGCACTGTGAGTCTTGGGGAACCTGAAAGAGGAAAAGGAATGTTAGACCCTGTCTGAGCCAGCCATGCGAGGTCGGCCAGCGGTCTGCTCCCCTCAGCCACACCCGGGTGATGGCCTGTAGTCTGGGAAGTCCCCTCCTCTGGGTCCCCACCAAAGGTCTGGGAATCTGGCCTGCTCCTCTTCATCCTCCATGGCCAAATGGGTAGCCGAGTGCACTGCGCGAGGCACACCCTTTTCTGGTCTTTTTGGGTCTTCAGTTTTCCAGATCAGGTGACCAGCCTTGTTTCATCCTGAAACTTGCTGATGCTGGTGGCCGCAGGCCAGAGCTTGGGTGGGGCATGCTGGCCTCTCAGGCAAAACCGCAGTGATGTTTTTTCTAGTTTAAATGAGAACCAAGCCCTCTCTCTTGGCCACACTGAACCTTTTGTTAAACTCCACAGCCAAATCTATCTGTACAACTGAGAGGAACCTACAGTGTACCAAACCCTGGAGCTGATCTGGTTTCACTCCAGGGGAATTTAAGAAGGAAAGTTGTTGGCCATCCCATCGGACACCGGGATGGCTGGTCAAGTTCTTTGGTTTCCTCTAACTTTGCTGGTTTCACACTCTGCTTTGCTTTCAGCACTGTCCCTGTATTTGATTTCCAATAAGCCAAACCCTTCCCACAGCCCAACCCCAAACCCTAGATGATTATGTTGCATTTCCTAAGTGAAATGGCTTCTAAAATTGCATGTGACCTGGGGCTGCTAAGGTTCCTTCACCCTGCCTACTCCTTACCCTTCCCTTCCCTCTGGCATCCAGCTGGTCTTGGTTGACCCTTAAAACCAGCAAAATGTATTGTGAGAGCTTTTAAGAATGGTAAATGATGTCATCCAGATGCTAGCTACAATAAAATGAATGCCTGGGCCACTGTGTTAAGAAGGATACTGAGGCCAGTTTCTGCTTTAGCAAGAAAGAGGGCTTTGGACCAGGGAGTGGGGGTGTCAAATGTTCACCATTTCTGAGAGGCTCTGTCCAGATCCATTCTGGGACTCTGAGTTATAGTAGGAAGTTCTTTTAACTTTTCAGTTTTAATTGTCTTTTCTTAAAACTACTATCCCTGGAACACGAATCCTGTCTCTACTGGCTTCCAGGGCGGCCATGCTCTTCTCACCATAGGAAGGTTCTAATTCAACTCTACGGCCAAATTCTCTGTTGACTTTGGATGTTTTTCTCTGTGCTACTCCCATTGTTCTTTTTCACCTAGAGACGTTATTTGCCAGTTATCATGGCAAACCCAGGTCTCAGCTTGGACTGTCTACATGTGGCCCTTTCTCCAGGTTGGCCAAGGACTCTGTCCTTTCAGCCCTGAGAACACTGTCATTAACACCACTTCCAAAGCTGCCACAATCCCTGTAGCCATCAAATATTACTTTTCATCCCTTTTAGATGCCAGAAGCAATTTATGAGTTATTCCTCCGGCAGAGATGGCTCTGAACTGGAATCCTGTCGGGCCAAACAAATGGCCATTATTAAGGTTTTCCAAATAGCCCATACGTGCTTGGAAAGTCAGTGTGTGCAACACATGGGTTTTGTTCTTTGCTGTTCTTCATCCTGGCTTTGATGAATTGGGTGCTTTCATTGCTGCAGATGCTGAGAAAGAACATCTCTCTCCAGAACCCCCCCTCCCCAGCCACGGCCTCGTGCGGAGGATGCTCAGGGCAGTCCACATCCACCCTTCCTTTCCCCATGAGTTCTGGTACCCCGCCGGGCACAAGCAAAGCACCTCCCTCGCAGGGGTGGAGTTGGGTGGGAATGGGAATGTGTCCTGCAGGGAATAAACCCTTCTCCTTTTTGTTTGTCTTCTGTCCCCTGCAGCACCACCCTGAAGCCCCTCACGGCACCCAACATTCAGATCTCAGAGGTGGATACACCGCCCCAGAGCGACCAGACGCTGAGCCCCACAGGTATGAGCCTGGTGGAAGGATCCTCGGGTTGGGGGCCAACTGCATGAAGACCGTTGTGACAGCTACGAAAACTGTTATTTATTTTTGAAAATATAAAATTGACATGGTTCAAGATTCTAAAGGTGTTATAAGGAAAGGATTGAAATTTACCCACCTCATCTGTCCACTTGGAAGCCACCCAAGAACATCCTTCCCCAGGGATTCCATACACATATAAGCAAATACACCCCAGCATGCTTTCATGGGCGAAGGTTTTCTTTTTTTCTCCTTTTTATACAAGTTGTAGCATCTTGCACGTGGCTGCCTTTATTTGTCAGTTTATCAGGGATTGTTCCACACAGATCTGTAAAGAACTTCCACATTCTTTACGGCTCTGTGTTATATTCCATTCTATGGACAAGTGATCATTTATGTAATCACACCCTGCTGATAGATATTTAAGGCACTTTCAGTCTTTGCTATGACAAGCAATCTTGCAGGGGGTGGCCTTACCCCTGTGTCACTGTACCTAGTTATCCATACGTCTGCAGGATTCTTTTCAAGGGGAATTTCTGGGTTTGAGAATGTATACATTTGTAATTTTGATAGATATTATCAGTTTGCAATATCTTTTTTTAACACGACATAGATTAAAATATTTTAATAAAAACAGATTAACTGACACATGCTTCACAATTTGGCTGATGTCGGTATTGAATATTAATAGACATGCAAGGATAGGAATATGTCATATTACATTTATTTATATTTATCAAGCATTTTATTTCCAATTTTTTAGTGTGGTAAAATACACATAACACAAAATTCATCGTCTTAACCATTTTTAAGTGTACAGTCATTGATATTAATACATCCGGACTATTGTGCAACCACCACCTCCATCCATCTTCCAAATCTTTTCATCTTCTAAAACAGAAATCTATATCCATTTAATAATAACTCCCTATTTCCTCCCCGCCCCTCTAGTCCCTGGCAATCACCACTTTGTCTCTTATGATTCTGACCACTCAGTACCACATATATGTGGAATCATTTAGTATTTGTCTTTTGGTGGCTGGTTTCAGTTGGCATGATGTCCTCAAGGTTCATCCTAGTATGTGTCAGAATTTGTTTGCAATATCTTGCAAGCCCTTATGTCATGCCTATCCTGTGGCAGACTACATTAACTCGCCTAGACCCTCTCAACAATCCCATGAAGTGGGTGTTATTATCCCCATTTTATAGATGAAGAAACTGAGGCACAGAGTGATTAGTGATATATGGCAATAGTGGAGCTGAGATTTGATCCCAGGGAGGCTGGGTCTGAAGTCTGTGCTCTGAACCTTTTCACTGTATCACGTCTCAATAAATTGTATATTATGTTTTTTTTTCCTTCAGCAGAAAGTTTTTTTTTTTTTTTTTTGGCTGGGGCTGGGTTTAAACCCACCACCTCCAGCATATGGGGCCAGTGCCCTACCCTTTTGAGCCACAGGCGCCGCCCAGAAAACACTATTTTTATAAAATGTGTATATATATACTTTTTGAGGCAATAGATGCTGGAGAATTCACCTGAAGAGGGAACCATGTGCAAGTTGTCCCCTGTCCAGACAGATAGATCATTCCCTCTTCCCTCTCAGATGCCAGAGGTCTGAAGCCCCTGCCGGAAGACACCCCACAGCTGATGCGCACACGCAGTGATGTTGGGGTGCGTCGCCGTGGCAATGTGAGGACACCTAGCGATCAGCGGAAAATCAGACGGCACCGCTTCTCCATCAACGGCCATTTCTACAACCATAAGGTAGAGGACAGGAGTGTGGGAGGAAGGCAAGGCCCCTTCCAGGGACCTGGTGCCTCAGGGTTACAGCCATGTGGTCTCAGACCTGGGGAGCCAAGTGTCTGCTATTGAGCTTTGGGTGGCAGGTGGGCTGCAAGCTCTGTTGGCTTCCTGAAGGAGGGGGGAGTCCAGGTCAAAGGCTCTGAGACCCTCCTGGGGGTTTCCTCTAGGGTTTTGGGTGTATTCAGGGAGCTGTATAATGCAGCCCCTGCTGTAACCCTGAAGATCCCATAAACCCACATCATCAGTCCCTGCCAGGCAAACCGACATATTCCCTTCTTCCCGCATTGGGCCTGCTGGTCTGTCCTTCCCCTGAGCGAAGGGGAGGCACCACGCCAGGCGTCGGGGCACCACCCACCTGCCTCAAGCCACGGACACCTCCTTCCCTCATGCTGCTTGGTTTACATCCTAGCCCCAGAGGCAAGTGTGGGTGGGAGAACGGTCAGAGGCCACCTTGTGTAGAAGTCCAGTGAAGGGTCTTTGTGAATGTTTTGTTTGGAGGGGACCTCACTTCCCCAGTCTGGTTCCCCCTCCTGGCCCCGCCATCTGGGGACTCGGAGAAAAGAACTGAATCAGGCAGACCCCGAGAACTGCTTTGCCAGGTTGCCAGGAGGCTTCCAGGGATTACATATTGAGCACCAATGTCACTGTGCCCTGTACTGCATCTGGGCGTTAGTACTTTGTCCTGTCTCCCTGAGCTGGACCCCTGTATTGACAGACATCGGTGTTCACGCCAGCCTATGGCTCCGTCACCAACGTCCGCATCAACAGCACCATGACCACCCCGCAGGTCCTCAAGCTGCTGCTCAACAAATTCAAGGTGAGTTTCCTTTGCTGGTTGGTCACAGATGGGGTCACATGTGTGCCTTGGGGATCCATGCAAGGGAAGAGGAGCAGCTGTGGAGAGTGTATGGTTTGGGGGGCACCTGGCAGAGGGTTTGGGTTCTTTGGACCCTCACTGCTCAAAGCAAGGTCCACTGTCCCAGCATCACGTGGGAGCTTGTTAGAAAGTCAGACTCTCAGGCCCCACTGCTGACTCGCTGCATCAGAAAGTGGCGGGGCCAGGGCACCTGCTTAACAGGCCAGCGGGGAATTCTGATGTCTGCTGAGGTCTGAGAGACATCAGCCCTCAGTTTTTCTTCTTCTTCTTCTTCTTCTTCTTCTTTTTTTTTTTTTGAGACAGAGTCTCACTTTATTGCCCTTGGTAGAGTGCTGTGGCATTACAGCTCACAGCAAACTCCAGCTCTTGAGCTGAGGCGATTCTCTTGCCTCAGCCTCCTGAGTAGCTGGGACTACAGGCATCTGCCACAAAGCTGGGCTGGGTTTTTTTTTGTTGTTGTTGTTATTGTTGTTGCAGTTTGGCTGGGGTCAGGTTCAAACCTGCCACCTTTGATATATGGGGCCAGAGCCCTACCCACTGAGCTGCAGGTACCACCCAGCCCTGGGATTCTTTGTGGATAGCTACAGAAGGGCCCCAGTTCCTGCTGACTGGTTTGGGGCTCAGTGCACAGATTGATTTCTAGGACACAGTTGGGGAACCTACTTTGAAAAACAATACTTAAATAGATGTGTAAATTACGGTGCATGTGTGCTTTTAAAGTCCTGTTACTCTATGTTTTCCATAACCTCCTTGTAACTCTTTTGGAGAGCAAGTATTTTTATTTTTACTAGGAGCCAGTGTAGCCTAGCAGCCTAAGGGTGCGTTTTCAAGGTTTCAGCTCCCACCTATCCCCTGCTAGTCAATGACTCAGACAAGTTACTTAACCTGCCTCTGCTTCTGCTTCCTCATCTGTCAAATCAGGGCAACAGGACTGTGTTCTGACGATGTCATGAGTGTTGGATGGGTTAAAACACAAAATGTGTGGAACTAGGTCTGGCAAATCACCGTACATTTTAGCCATTATTATCTGTCACAGTCATGCACGGTATAACAATGTTCTGGTCAATGCTGAGCTGAATATATGCTGGTGTCCCATAAGACTATCCTAGTGTGATTTTAATGTGCCTTTTCTGTGTTTAATATGTTTAAACATACAAATACTTGCCATTGTGTTAGGCTTGCCTATAGAATTCAGCAGAGTAACCTGAAAACAGATTTGCAGCCTCAGAGGTATAGGCTAGACCAGTAATTTTCAACTGGTGTCCTGTGAAAAAAAAATTTTTTTTTTTGGCTGTTTTTGGCCCGGGCTGGGTTTGAACCCATCACCATCAGCATATGGGGCCGGCACCCCACTCCTTCGAGCCACAGGCGCCGCGCTGCTGTGAACATTTTTAAAGATTGTTAACTAAATTATTTTTGAAAGAAGTTCAAAGCACAATAAGGATATTCTTTTCTTTACTCTTTTTTTTTGATCAACGTAATTTAAGTGTGTTGGGAAAGTTTAACAACAGGTTCAAGTGTGCCGTGAGATAAAAAACATTGTGTTAGACCGTCTGGGTTTATGTAAGCACAGCCTAGGATGTTAGCACAATGAAATCTCCTAGTGATGAATTTCTCAGAACATCTCCCCTGTCGTTAAGTGACATGTGACTGTATCATTAATAAGGTATCTGCCTGTCCCATCTCCTTATCCCTTCTGAGAGCTGTATATATATAGCTTTCCCACCAAAAGACCAAAAATCTATTTAGCTTTGCATGATATACATAGAAGCAGGAAAGGCTCAAAGTTAGGATGTTTAACTACCTGCTCTCGACAAGTGTCTTTTGTTCCTGATTCAGATTGAGAACTCAGCGGAGGAGTTTGCTTTGTACGTGGTCCACACCAGTGGTGGTAAGTCTGAAGACCACAGTGTACTTTAAGACCTCTAATTAACTCAAAATAGCAAGTTAAAAAAACTGTCTCTGCTGGCTTGTTGTTTGGGTTTTGAAAACTTCCAAATGTTCTTTGTCTCCAAGGCTGGTGGGCTTGCTGGATGAATCCACTGAAGAATGCCATATATGGTCAATAAACAAACTCTAAAACCTAACCGCCTATTAAAAAAGGAACTAGATTTTTTCAAGAGACAGATATGCCCAATTCCTCTGAAGGGTTTGAAGCACGGTAGTATTGTTGGGGGAGGGAAGTGGGAGGAGGTTCTGTTTAACAACACCGGTTGAGTAGTTCATTTACAATCTGTCTCTTAAGGTGCCTGTCCTTTTGGGCCCCTGAGTTGACCACTATTGAAGGTATAAAAGGCCTCTAGCCAAACTCAGGGCTGCTTCTGGTTGTGTGTGATTCCAGAGAAACAAAAGCTGAAGACCACCGATTACCCTCTGATTGCCCGAATCCTCCAGGGACCATGTGAGCAGGTCTCCAAAGTGTTCCTCATGGAGAAGGACCAGGTGGAGGAAGTCACCTATGATGTGAGTCTTCTTTAGCTTGGGTGGTGTACCCTCTGGACGAGGGAGATTAGTAGTGTTACCTGAAACTGGCATATAGCATAATTTTTGACCAAGGACCATGTCCTCTTTCACTGCCATTGTTCAATACCAGGTGTTCTTGAAGGCAGGTTGTGGGTGTGCCCTGTGAGAGTTGTTGGAGGAATTCATAGGCAAAAAATGACTTCCGTAGATGGAATAAATTTTGGCTCAGCGCCTGTGGCTCAAGTGGCTAAGGCGCCAGCCACATACACCTGAGCTGGCAGGTTCGAATCCAGCCCCGGCCTGCCAAACAACAATGGCGGCTGCAACCAAAAAATAGCCAGGCATTGTGGTGGGCGCCTGTGGTCCCAGCTACTTGGGAGGTGGAGGCAGAAGACTCGCTTGAGCCCAGGAGTTGGAGGTTGCTGTGAGCTGTGATGCCACAGCACTCTACCCAGGGGGACACCTTGAGGCTCTGTCTCAAAAAAGAGGAATAAATTTCTTGGGCTTTTCTAGGGTACTATAAGAGTGCTGAAAAGTGTTTGCAGACACTCTCTTAGGTTGCTAAGAAGTTGGCAGTGTATTAGTCAGCTTTTGCTGCAGTAACAAACATCTTCAAATCTTAGTAACTTACAAACAGCAAATATTTACCTTTTTGTTCCTGATTCTGTGGGCTGGTCTTGGGGCCTCTACTCTAGACTGTGGGTTGAGTTTGGATCTGCAAGGTGTGTCTCATTCAGAGGCTCAGGCTCCAGGGCATACTTCTGTGTAATATGCTCCCCACCGGGGATGGTAGAGTGCAAGAAGTCAGGCCATATCACGGAGTGCATTTGAGACCTCCACTCAGATTTGGTGTATGTCATGTCCACACACATTCCATTGGCCAAAGCAAGTTACATAGCCAAGCTCAACCTGCACAGGATGGAGAAATATACTTCTACTTTGGAGGAGGGTTGATAGAGGAACATGGGGCTTCTGGTGGAGAGGATAAGCCAGTTTTAAACTTTAACTCACCTGGGTGATACCCACAGACTCTCTGAAGCAAGTTCACATTTGGATGCCTATTTGAGCCTTGACATTCCAATTGTCACTCTGACCCAGGGTTTCTTAAATGCTCTCAGTGGAGAATAAAGAGGTTTATTAAATACAGAGTCAGTTCTTTCTCTGCATCAGTGAATCAAGAGAAAGTGCTTTCCTGTGTTTGGCACCACCTCATCATTGAATGGACAGAAGAGATGAAAAATGAGAAGTTATAGGGTGGTGTCGTGTAAATGGAGTGATCTTCATCGAAGACTCCATACCAGCTTAAAGAAGAGTGAGGATTGGCCCTGACTGTTAAGGAAATCCTGGGTTGGAGGGAAGATAGATCTCCCTAGGCTTTGTGCCTTGAGTGAGAGTGACACTGAAAGGAATTGGGATGAGGCAGGGAGGGGTGCGCACTCTAGAACTTACTTTTTTCTCCCCAGGTGGCCCAGTATATAAAGTTTGAGATGCCTGTCCTTAAAAGCTTCATTCAGAAGCTCCAAGAGGAAGAAGACCGAGAAGTAAAGAAGCTGATGCGCAAGTAAGAGTGGACCCCCGACCCCCCCACCCCCCGGGTGCCGAGGGGGTTTCCCTGTGGCCTCCACGGGAGGGGCCTTCATTCAGGAGCCTCGCGGGGCTGTGCCGAGCTGCTGTGCGGCCCGGGTCTCACGGACTTTCTTCAGGGGGCTGCCCATTGACTAATCTGGATCTCAGATGGGGAAGTGAAACTTAAGTGTGCTTGTCTCTCTGCTTCACGTGGGAGCTTCTCATTCTTTTCTTTTCTTTTTTGAGACAGAGTCTCACTTTCTTGCCCCGAGTAGAGTGTCATGGCTTCATAGCGCACAGAAACCTTGAATTCTTGGGCTCAAGTGACTCTTCTGCTTCGGTCTCCCGAGTAGCTGGGACTACAGGCACCCACCACAACACCTGGCTATTTTTAGAGATGGGGTCTCTCTCTTGCTCAAGCTGGTCTCAAACTCCTGAGTTCAGGCAATCCACCTGCCTTGGCCTCCCAGAGTGCTGGGATTACAGGCGTGAGGCACTGTGCCCAGCCATAGCTTCTCATTTCAATGTGGAACATCAAAATGTCTTTGGTCCCCTCCCCCCTTTTATGGTAAAAAGGATGCTGGTATGAAATTTCTTGGGGGTCTAGATTCAGAAATGGGGGAAGTGATTTTATCCTCGCTTCCCTCGCTTCCCTGATCAGGCTCCCAGCAGGTACATCTCCCTTTCCAGTGAGAGTCTTTGAGAGGCATTTAATGAAGGGGCTATTTACAGAGACTTGGGCAGAGTCTGGGGTAATCTCAAGAGATAGTATAGCCCCCAGGCCAGCGTCACCACCCCTTACCTAAAACTAGTCTAATTTGGACTTGGCCTCTTTATTCCCTCCTATCCTATCATGGAAATGAACACAAGCAATAAAGTGTCTAGGGCGTGGGACTGAAATGGAAGTAAAGGGTCGGACCTTCAGCTCATGCAGCTACCTGGTTTTAGCTGGCACCACCTCAGTGTCACCTGAGTGGCCAGCAGAGTCCTGAGGAGGACTGTGTGGCTGCCTGCTCTCCACCAGGGCCTGGGGAGGGCCGTGTGGCTGCCTGCTCTCCACCAGGGCCTGTTTCTTGTCCCCAGGTACACTGTCCTGCGGCTGATGATCCGGCAGAGGCTGGAAGAGATAGCAGAGACCCCAGCAACGATCTGAGCTGCAAGAATGAGGGACCCAGACACCCTAGGAGCCACCCTTGATTGACATGAGCAGACCCCCAGGAGTCTGGGCACTTTCTTTCCACAGAAATGTTTAAGTACAAACCTCTCCAGCTCCAGACAGGCCACTGTTTTGCTCCCTGGAGCAGGACGAAGAAGTCGGCAGACAACTCCCCATCCCTGGATCCCTGCTGTCTTTTCTTTCCCTTGCAAGGACTTGACTTTTGTTATAAGGAGGACCCCACGTGTGTGTGTCCATAGGTGCATGCACACACATGTCCATGTGCCTAGCTGATATTTTCACATGTAATTAACTTCCAAGAAACCAGCACTCCTGTGTTCTGGTTTTCCCTTGCTGCGCGAGGCAGGAAAACCAGAGGAGACGCTGAGCTGAGGGTTTTAAGTCAAAGAAAACCCCAAGTGCCAGGGAGCAGGCACATATGTTTAGAAGGGGCAGGGGGATCTTCACGCTTACCACTTGGGGTGTTTATGTATTAGTATAAATTCTCCCCATATACCTAGAAGGATCAGTGAATGTGAGACCCTTGGAAATTAACAGAATAACAGCCCCGTTACCCTTAGGGAAAGCCTGATGGAAAGAAAAAGATAACCCATCCGTGGGGCAGATGCAATAAGCCCACAAGTTCTTACACTGGAAACTTTGATTGTTTTACATAATGAAGATGTCTGTGATGGTCTGTGTGGACACCTGTGAAGAGTGGATTCTGCCTTCGTTCCATCCCCTGGCCACCTCTAGCAAACAGGGGAGTCTGTGTGTTTCTCTCTGCGTGCCGAGCTGCCCACCCGTTTCTTCACTATTTCCTCAAGTTGAAGGACAAGGTCTCAGGAACAAAGATCTTGCCAGTGTGCAAATGATGCTGACCAGCCAGTGTGGCCAGAGCATGGCTCTTTCTGGGGTGGTGCCCTGGAAGTTTTGGATTCGCTCCTT